AAATTAAAAAAATTTGTTTCACTATTTGTTTTTTTACATATTGTCACCAGTGCAGTACAGCACCATCATATAACTGGCATGGCGGTGATCAGGGACACTGACTGGTGACAGTATGAAAAATATATATATATATATATATATTTTTTTTTTTTAAGATTTTTTTTTCATATTTCACTTTGACCAAAGTAGTACAATGTTACCATAGTAACATAGTACTACTTTGGGGAAGTGATCAGTATTTTTATTTTTTATTTTTTTTTACACAATTTGCTTATAGCAAAGAATTACTTTGCTATAAGCAAGCATTTACCTGAATGACATCGATTCATTCAGGGTTGTTTTTTTTTTTTTTTGTGCTTTCTTGTGCTTAGCTGTGATTTGGCCACAGCTAATCACATGACATGTGCATGTGATTAGCTGTGACCATTCACAGCTAGACACTAGTATACAATGGATGGCATGAATGAAGCTATCCATTGTATACAACTGTCATATGACCTGCTGTGATTGGTTACAGCAGGTCACATGGTACCGGCAATGGGGCCGGTACTTGATTTCCAAACAAAATGCAAAATTTACTTTGGACCACTGAGCAACAGTCCAGTCCTTTTTCTCCTTAGCCCAGGTAAGACTCTTCTGACATTATATGGTTCAGGAGTGGCTTGACACAAGGAATGCAAAAGTTGTAGCCCATGTCCTTTATACATCTGTGTGTGGTGGCTCTTGAAGCACTGTCACCAACTGTAGTCCACTCCTGAATGGCATGAATGAAGCTATCCATTGTATACAACTGTCATGTGACCTGCTGTGATTGGTCACAGCAGGTCACATGGTACCGGCAACGGGGCCGCTACTCAGATCTGTCATCGGCCGTGTCCAAGGTACACGGCCGGTGACAGATCGCGCTGCTACACGGCTCTGCAGGCGCACAAACTGTGCATGCCCGAAAGAACGCCATATGGCGTCCACCGGAAAGGTAAGGGTTTTTGCCAGCCGCCATTCAGCCGTAGGCCGGGTGGGAAGAGGTTAAAAGGTACGCAATTTTTTTGATTCATTTATTAGTCTCCATTCACACCTGGGCATTTTGGGATTGCAGCAGAATCACTGTATTTCTGCCCACGATCTCAAAATGCACTGCAATCGCAAAATGCAGGTTCATCTGCTATTATTTTTAGTGGCACCTAAAAAAACACGGTGTGGTTTTGCTGTGGCTTGTCACGTAGCAATCACATGTCATGAAGTTTGCCACCCAAAAGAAGCCCCTGCTCCTTTTTTTTAGGCAACAAGCTTCACGTGATGCATTTTAGGTGCCTTTGAAAATAATGGCACCCGAACCTGCATTTGTGACTGTAGTGCATTTTGAGATTTCGGGCATATTCTGCCGCGATCCCAAAATGCCCATACGTGAATGGAGCCTAACAGTTTAAATTGCCTTTGCAGGTGATTTGACTTTTGGGGGTTGGGGTTTTCGGTAGAGCGGACTTTTTTTTCATGGAAGGTCTGCTTTAAATAATATGATACCGATGTTCACTGATCATAGTGTTTTACCCGTCTTGGGTTGTCCAGTTGTTATGGTGAGATTTGAGAAATGTCAGATGTGATGATGGACTGCAGCACAGAAAATGTCACTGTTCTTTTGGGTGTCTTTTTTGGGCTTGTTCATTTGCGTGGCAGGCCTTGCCGCCCCTCTTATAAAGAACCTGCGGTGGATTGTTTTTCAGAGGTGTTTGACAGGTGGCGAGTCCCATATGGAAGAAAAATATATTTGAAATATTTGGAATATTTGGAATATGCTTTCCAAAAATATTGCCATATATTTGAAATGCTACAATTTTGGCTATATTCTATATATATATATATATATATATATATATATATATATATATTCACACACACACATACATACATACACACACTGCACGTTGAAATGCGTTTTTATTGCAAAATATATGAAAAATATTTTTAAAGGTACATTTCAAATGTACTATATGTCTTTAAAAATACAAATCTACATTTTTGGAATGCATTTGCAAATGTTTGTAAAAATATATGTTAAAATGACTGTTAAAAACATATGAAGGATATATTCTAAAAACATATTTTTAAAAATATATGTTTTAAAAATATATTATTCAGATTTTTTTAACATATAAAAAAGTAATTTTAACATATATGTTTACACATATTTGTAAATGCATTCCAGAAATGTAGATTTGTATTTTTAAAGACATACAGTATAACTGAAATTTATTTTTAAAAATATTTTTCATATATTTTGTAATAAAAACACATTTCAACATGCAATATATATGTTTAGATAAGTGTTTGGGGCACTATAAAACCCTGCCTCAACCACCTGCTTTTACCACCCCCTACCTGTATGTCATGAACGAGCCCTTTCTATAGAGTGATGTGAAGTTCAGATGATTGTAATAGAACCTGCGTGGACACATGGTAGCAGCGTTGCCTGTCTTCCATCAAGAGAAGCGTGGAAATCTACAGCTAAATCATACATTTTATTTTCCAGATGAATACACTGAAAAATCATACCATGGCTGACAGAGACATGAGCTCTCTTACAAGCTGCCTATTAGAAAATAAAAGCCATCTTACTGCTGGAAATCACACAAGTGTGAAGGTGTCTTATTGTCTCCATGGCCTGGAAACTGCAGTGCAAAGCAAAACTCAGTCATTTCACTGGTAGCCGCCCTCACTGCACTGTTGTATGCGTTTTTTGTAGGCTATATTTTATGAGCATGAAGGGCTCATTCACCGCATTTAGATTAGTGTATAATTTTATATGCGTGTAAACGCAGCAGTATAAGAATGAATGGGGTCATACACACAGGTGCGTCTACAAATGATAACCTGCACAGCATTTTACGATGTATAAAAAAGTAAACAAAAGCTGCATCCAGGGCCACACATATCTGCCAATTCCTCATGTAGACATGGAAACGCACGCACGCAAACACGGAAAGGTTTCTTCACAGTGAGAGCTATGAAAATGTGGAATAGACTCCCTCAAGAGTTGGTTCTGGCCAGCTCAGTGGATTGCTTTAAAAACGTCCTGGATCCTTTCTTGGATACACAGAATATAACTGGATACTAACATTGATAGGTAAAGTTGATCCAGGGAATATCAGATTGCCTCTCAGGGGATCAGGAAGGAATTTTTTCCCCTGCAGGAGCAAATTGGATCATGCTTTGCTGGGTTTTTTTTTGCCTTCTTCTGGATCAATTGTGAGCATAGGATTATAACTTTTTTTTTTTTTTTTTTTTAATGGTTGAACTGGATGGACTTTTGTCTTTTTTCAGCCAGACTAAAACTATGTAACTATGCATCAAGTCATAAGAATAATTCTACATGTCTTAACACTGTACCCATCTAAACACAATAAAATGTGTCTAAATGTGAGTATTTTAGGTGCATATTTTACAGAAGTCCTCCTGTATAAACCTGCATTATGTGCAGAAAATTTGCATATGCCCACGTGAATAAAGCCAGGGGCATATTTACAAAAAGGCAAACAAGGCATTTGCCTAGGGCAGAATTTTTCAGGGGGGCAGCACCTCCCCACAGAAGAAGGGATGGAAGAAGAGACACACATGCTATGGGAACCAGGTGGGATCCGAGGGAGGCTGTGGACTGCTTGATGGTGTATGCAGAGTCTGACTCTCATTCCTGGGGATGTCTGGAGCTGTGAAGGTGAGTGTCTCTCTGTTGCCGGGGGTGGTAGTGGAAGGCTCTCCCGGGTGGGAGGCAGGGGTGTTGTTGGTCAATGTAAGGCTCTCTCTATGGAGGGGGAAGGGGTGGTGTTGGTCGGTGTCCATGGGGGCAGTTGATTTTTGTGTTGCCTAGGTCAGCACAAAACATAAATACACCACTGAATAAAGCCATAGGCTGGCCATAGATGATGTCATTTTCTTTACTTCAACCATTAGCTGAAAAAAGAAAATGAAGTGATTTCCCCATCAGCACAGTCTGTGTTGATGGGGGGAATCCCTGGCGCTTGTATTCTGTCGGAGGTATAGCTGCTGGTAGTGGGTGTATGAAATAAACTCGACAGGCTGGTTGTACTGAAGTCAGTCGATAGCAGGGGCGGACTAACAACTCATGGGGCCCCCGGGCAATAGGGGATCATGGGGCCCCTGTGTCCTTGCCCAAACTCAAAAAAGCCTATGAAAAAGGTACCAGGGGCATCTCATGGGGCCCGCTACTGACCCCGAGCCCTCGGGCAGTGCCCCAGTTTCCAAATGGTCAGTCCGCCCCTGGTCGATAGATAGACTTCAGCATACACAGCGTGCCCATAGATGGATCGAAATTTGTCCGGTTCCTGCTGGACTGGCTGAATTTCACTCCATCTATGGCCGTCTTTAGGCCTCAGTCATACAGGCTTACCTATCTGTACAAGAGTGCGAAGGGTTGTCTGACAGCATGGGATAACCACATGTTCAGTTCAGGAAGTCCTTTTCATGTCTATTAGGATGAAGTGGGTGTACAGACACAGCCGCTGTGACCCACACCCACATTGCTGGCAAATTGGGACAAGCGGCTGTGTCTGTACAGCCGCTGCATCCTAATAAATGGAACTGCCTGCATGGGACAAAACATGGAGAAATATGGATGTAATGGAGAGGTGTGAAGTATGTGTGTTTTTTTTTTTTTGTCAGACATACACTTTTTAACCACTTCATGCCTGCCTACAGCGCAATCTACTGCGGACAGTTGGCCGCTGTAGGCAAAGTGGCATTCGGGTACGTTGCTGCCTACTTCCAGGTATAAGGTGCCTGTGCCACCCGGCCCACAGGGGCTGTCATTGTACACAACGGGATCCTGACAAGTCCCGGCTATAATTTATGGCCGGGACCTGCTTATCGGCTGTGTCCAATCACAGCCCAGAGCTCTGTATTGGCAAAAAGCACACAGCTCCATACAGAGGGAGCGATCTGTAAGTTTCTCATCCCTGCAAAGTAGGGATGAGAAAGTCAGGCACATATTTAATCCCTTGATCGTCCTAGATGTTAACCCCTTCCAAGCCAGTGTCATTAGTACAGTAACAGTGTATAGTATTATCACTGATCACTGTACTAATGTCATTGGTGATGTCTATGCGATCACAGCGGAAGTGGGAGTGGGTAAATGTCAAATTCGGGTACCCTCTCCCCAAAGGTCTGCAGTCTCCGGTCATCTCGTGTACTGTGTCCGCAGTCTCCGGTCATCTCGTGTACTGTGTCCGCAGTCTCCGGTCATCCCCTGTACTGTGTCCGCAGTCTCCGGTCATCCCCTGTACTGTGTCCGCAGTCTCCGGTCATCCCCTGTACTGTGTCCGCAGTCTCCGGTCATCCCCTGTACTGTGTCCGCAGTCTCCGGTCATCCCCTGTACTGTGTCCGCAGTCTCCGGTCATCCCCTGTACTGTGTCCGCAGTCTCCGGTCATCCCCTGTACTGTGTCCGCAGTCTCCGGTCATCCCCTGTACTGTGTCCGCAGTCTCCGGTCATCCCCTGTACTGTGTCCGCAGTCTCCGGTCATCCCCTGTACTATGTCTCAGTCTCTGGTCATCTCCTGTACTGTGTCCGCAGTCTCTGGTCATCTCCTGTACTGTGTCCGCAGTCTCTGGTCATCTCCTGTACTATGTCCGCAGTCTCTGGTCATCCCCTGTACTGTGTCCGCAGTCTCCGGTCATCCCCTGTACTGTGTCCGCAGTCTCCGGTCATCCCCTGTACTGTGTCTGCAGTCTCCGGTCATCTCCTGTACTGTGTCCGCAGTCTCCGGTCATCTCCTGTACTGTGTCCGCAGTCTCTGGTCATCTCCTGTACTGTGTCCGCAGTCTCTGGTCATCTCCTGTACTGTGTCCGCAGTCTCTGGTCATCTCCTGTACTATGTCCGCAGTCTCTGGTCATCTCCTGTACTGTGTCCGCAGTCTCTGGTCATCTCCTGTACTGTGTCCGCAGTCTCTGGTCATTCCTGTACTATGTTTACAGTCCATTGGTTCAGAATATTTGTTTTTCTTGTTTTCCTCCTCTAAAAGCTAGGTGCATTTTATGGTCGGGTGCATCTTATGGAGCAAAAAATATGGTACACCATCGATTGTAGGCACTATAACCTTCTCACATACCAATCAATATACACTTACAGTATTTGGATTTTTATTTTTTAATCAAAGACTTGTAGCAGAATACATGTTGGCTAAAATTTATGAAGAAAGTTCTTTTTTTTTTTTACTGTTTTAAAGCAGAATGTAAAATTTTTTTTTTTTTTTCGTTTTTCTAAATTTTTTTGTCTTTTTTTGTTTATATCACAAAAAATAAAAAAAAAACAGTGATAATGAAATACCACCAAAAGAAAGCTCAATTTGTGTGAAAAAATTATATACATAGTGCAGTGCGGTATAGCAAAAAAATGGCCTGGTCATGAAGGGGGTAACCCTTCAGCTCCTGAAGTGGTTAAAGCAGAACTAAAGCAGTAAGGGCTCTTGTGGTAGTGTACAAGCATTAACAGGGCAGACTTACTTTAGTCTAGGTTCACACCTATTTGTTTTCCGCTGCGTTTTTCGGAAATGCACAGCAGTCCATTTAACATGATTTCCTATGGGACAGGTTCACACCTCCGCAAATTCACCCAGTGCGTTTTTTGGAAAGGGGTGAGCCTGAGTTCAAACTGATGCGGTGTGGCATATCGCATGTGATTCGCACCGAATTCCTGTGCAAATAACACGTGATTTCTGTGCGGTGCTATTTAAGCCATACAAATCGCACCGCATCTGCACCAAAAAGGTGAAAGACACTTTTTTTTGGCCTACACTCGAATCGGATCGCATGGGTGTTCACACCCATGAGATCCTATTCTGCACATCGCACCGCGTTTTGCAAACTGATTTTGTTGTTAACTTAACATACACACCTGCAGTGGTTCGTACGAACGGGGTGCGATTGTGATGCGGTGTGGAATTCGCACAGAAACCGGTGTGAATTCTGCATCATATCAGTGTGAACCCAGGCTCAAGGACTTTTTTAAATGTAAAATGTTGCGTTTTTGGTTCTATAGACTTCAACGGGGATGCTGCAGAAAAGCATGTAGTGCATTTTTGATGCATTTTGCATCTTAATCTGCCTAGAAAAAAGTAAAACAAAAAGCAAAACGCATCAAAAACACAAGTGCAAAAATTCAAAACGCACTGCAGAAATGGATCAAATGCAAACTCCATAGGTGTGAACCTAGCCTTACACAATCCCCTCATCCAGCAATACAATGTTTGGGGCTCCCTGTATGCTCCAAAGCTGCTGCTTCCATTTTTTTGCAGTTTTTTTCCAGGTCTGGAAGTGCCAGCGTCTTGTATGGCCAGCCAGGGAAGATGCGACACTAATGCATGTGGATGGTACTTCCTTTGTCCAGTCACCCAGTGCACACCAAGATTGTACAGAGTTTGGCATTTGCAGCTCAGTGTACAATTTGAAAACAAAACAATGCTAGGAGGCAGTGAAGTAGCATTTATGGCAGAAGAGACATGCAGAGTTGGTACTGCGATAAAAAGCTACCTGAATCTTTGCCAATAGTTACTTAAAGCAAAACGTCACCTGAAGGCTCCATGCACACGGAGCGTTTTGATAACGCTGGTAAAATTAGCTGTATAAAGTCACGTTAAAAACGTGAGTTTTTTCAGCTTTTTTTAACTTTTTTGCATTAGCATTAAGCAGCGTTTAGTCACAATTAGCGGCTTTTGCTCGTGTTTATCCGCGTTTGCAGTTTTAGTGTTTTTTTTTACCAAAAAAACTATTTTTTGGGGGTCAAAAAAGTCCCAAAACGTCGGTTTGCGATGTTTTACCATGTTTTAGCACGTTTTTTCAGCGTTAGAGGGTGTTTACAGCTAAAACATTTCTCTAGAAACCCACTAGTCCTAGGTTTTTTTTTCCAGCCAAAAAAAGGTCCCAGACAAAAACTGTTGATTACAGTGTATGTGTGCATGGACACATAGGATAACATGCTGGGGAGTTTACTGCCTGTAGAAAAAAACGTCAACAGCGTTATTGAATCTAAAATATACCCAAAAGGCACTGCTTAGGATCCAGAATTAAATTAGTTTGAAACACTAAATTAAGGGTAAGTACCACCTCCTCCCAATACCTATGAAGTTTTGGACATCTCCACAACATACAGTCAGGTCCATAAATATTGGGACATGGACACAATTCTAACATTTTTGGCTCTATACACCACCACAATGGATTTGAAATGAAACAAACAAGATGTGCTTTAACTGCAGATTGTCAGCTTTAATTTGAGGGTATTTACATCCAAATCAGGTGAACGGTGTAGGAATTACAACAGTTTGCATATGTGCATCCCCCGCTTGTTAAGGGACCAAAAGTAAATGGGACAGAATAATAATCATAAATCAAACTTTCACTTTTTAATACTTGGTTGCAAATCCTTTGCAGTCAATTACAGCCTGAAGTCTAGAACGCATAGATATCACCAGACGCTGGGTTTCATCCTGGTGATGCTCTGCTAGGCCTCTACTGCAACTGTCTTCAGTTCCTGCTTGTTCTTGGGGCATTTTCCCTTCAGTTTTGTCTTCAGCAAGTGAAATGCATGCTCAATCGGATTCAGGTCAGGTGATTGACTTGGCCATTGCATAACATTCCATTTCTTTCCCTTAAAAAACTCTTTGGTTGCTTTTGCAGTATGCTTTGGGTCATTGTCCATCTGCACTGTGAAGCGGCGTCCCAATGAGTTCTGAAGCATTTGGCTGCATATGAGCAGATAATATTGCCCAAAACACTTCAGAATTCATCCTGCTGCTTTTGTCAGCAGTCACATCATCAATAAATACAAGAGAACCAGTTCCATTGGCAGCCATACATGCCCACGCCATGACACTACCACCATCATGCTTCACTGATGAGGTGGTATGCTTAGGATCATGAGCAGTTCCTTTCCTTCTCCATACTCTTCTCTTCCCATCACTCTGGTACAAGTTGATCTTGGTCTCATCTGTCCATAGGATGTTGTTCCAGGACTGTGAAGGCTTTTTTAGATGTCGTTTGGCAAACTCTAATCTGGCCTTCCTGTTTTTGAGGCTCACGAATGGTTTCCATCTTGTGGTGAACCCTCTGTATTCACTCTGGTGAAGTCTTCTCTGGATTGTTGACTTTGACACACATACACCTACCTCCTGGAGAGTGTTCTTGATCTGGCCAACTGTTGTGAAGGGTGTTTTTTCTTCACCAGGGAAAGAATTCTTCGGTCATCCACCACAGTTGTTTTCCGTGATCTTCCGGGTCTTTTGGTGTTGCTGAGCTCACTGATGCGTTCCTTCTTTTTAAGAATGTTCCAAACAGTTGTTTTGGCCATGCCTAATGTTTTTGCTATCTCTCTGATGGGTTTGTTTTGTTTTTTCAGTCTAATGATGGCTTGCTTCACTGATAGTACAGCTCTTTGGATCTCATCTTGAGAGTTGACAGCAACAGATTGCAAATGCAAATAGCACACTTGAAATGAACTCTGGACCTTTTATCTGCTCATTGTAATTGGGATAATGAAGGAATAACACACACACCTGGCCATGGAACAGCTGAGAAGCCAATTGTCCCATTACTTTTGGTCCTTTAACAAGTGGGAGGCACATATGTAAACTGTTGTAATTCCTACAACACGTTCACCTGATTTGGATGTAAATACCCTCAAATTAAAGCTGACAGTCTGCAGTTAAAGCACATCTTGTTTGTTTCATTTCAAATTCATTGTGGTGGTGTATAGAGCCAAAAATGTTAGAATTGTGTCGATGTCCCAATATTTATGGACCTGACTGTATGTATCAGATGCCTGTGGTCCCACTTGCATCTGACACACGGAGTCCTGACGTTGCCCCATCTTATACAACTTTGCCATAGTGTAATGAACCCGAAGTAAAATATAAAGTTGAGAAATGCGATGGGAAACCGTCAATGAACTAAGATGTACTGAATGCAAGGCAGCCTCCCACTGATCATCCTCAAAAGTCCCAACATCTCGTTCCCATTGCCCACCGGCCCTACTTGGGTATTTTTCCAAGTAATCTGTCAAAAGCATGCTATAACAATTAGAAATAAGCCCCTTGGTCTCCGTAGCAGATTGTAAGTAGTTAAAAATAGGGGTAGAAGAGGGGTGCCAAAGGGTCGACAGGCCCTGAGCCGTAACTGCATGTTTTAGCTGCAAATAGTAAAATAGCATCGTGGATGGTAGGTTATACCTGGACTGCAACACATCAAAGGAGAGAAGCTGACCATTTGCTAAATATATGCTTCAAATGAGTGATACCATAGACCTTCCATTTAGACACATATTGTAATTTGGCCAATTCTGGTAGTGTCACATTGTTCCATATGGGACTATAAACCATATGGCCGATAATCTGTTGCAAATGCTTAATCTTAAACCAAAATTTCTGCATTAGGCGATATGTAGGGAAGGATTTACTAAGTTTACAAAATGATTGAGCCTCAAGACCCTCAGGCAAAGAGCCAAAGGCAGTGCAGTGCAACATCACCTTGAGGGTAGAGTCATCAATGGGAGCCGAGTCAAAAACCTTCCTGCACAATACCTTTATAAAAATGCTGCAGCTGACTAGCAAGGTAATACAACCATGGGTTAGGTAACGCTATCCCCCCTCTGTCCTCAGG